CTACACTAAACAAAAATGGCAATAAATAAGTACATATCAATAATCACCTTAAACGTAAATGGATTGAATGCTCCCATAAAGAGACACAGAGTAGCTGATTGGATAAGAAAGCATGACTCATCTATATGTTGTTTACAAGAGACCCACCTCTCAACAAAAGATTCACATAGGTTGAAAGTGAAGGGATGGAAAAAAATTTTCCAAGCAAATGGAAAGCAAAAAAAAAGCTGGGGTAGCAATTCTCATATCTGATAAAACAGATTTCAAAATGAAGACCATAACTAGAGACAAAGACGGCAACTACATAATATTGAAAGGATCTATCCAACAATATCTATATCTATATCTTGATATCTATATCAAGATATAACCTTGATAAACATATATGCACCCAATATAGGAGCACCAAAATATATTAAAAATCTTCTGGAGGACTTCCAAGGAGAAATCGACAACAATACAATCATATCAGGGGACTTCACCACCCCGTTGACAGCACTGGATAGATCCTCTAGGCAAAAAATTAGCAAGGAAACAGAGACTCTAAATGAAGCACTGGACCAAATGGATTTAATAGATATCTACAGAGAATTACACCCCAAAACTACAGAATACACATTCTTCTCAAGTGCACATGGGACATTCTCAAAGATACACCACATGATAGGACACAAAGTAAATCTCTACAAGTTCAAGAAGATTGAAATCATATCAAGCATCTTCTCAGATCACAATGGCATGAAACTAGAAATCAATTGCAACAAGAACATGCAAAGACATTTCAACACATGGAGGCTAAATAGCATGTTATTAAACAATGAATGGGTGACCGAGGAGATCAAGGAAGAAATTAAAAACTTCCTGGAAACCAATGAAAATGAACACACAACAACACAAAATCTATGGGATGCAGCGAAAGCAATTCTGAGAGGGAAGTTCATAGCACTACAGGCCTACCTCAAAAAACAAGAAAAATTTCTAATTGACTGTCTAACCTCACAACTTAAAGAATTAGAAAGCAAACAAAAAGAAAACCCCAGAGCAAGTAGAAGGAAGGAAATAGTAAAGATCAGAGCACAAATAAATGACATAGAGACCAAAAAAACAATTCAAAGGATATATGAAACAAATAGCTGGTTTTTCGAAAAGATAAACAAGATTGATGGACCCTTAGCTAGATTCACCAAGAAACAAAGAGAGAGAACCCAAATACACAAAATCATAAATGAAAGAGGAGAAGTAACAACCAAGACCACGGAAATACAAAAGATCGTTAACAACTACTACGAACAACTATATGGCAACAAATTCGACAATCTAAGCGAAATGGACAAATTTCTAGAAACACACAGTCTCCCAAAACTACTCCCGGAAGAGATAGAAAACTTGAACAGACCAATAACAACTAGGGAAATTGAAGAGGTAATCAAGACTCTCCCAGCAAACAAAAGCCCAGGCCCAGATGGTTTCACGGGGGAGTTTTACCGAACATTCAAAAAAGAACTAACACCCATTCTCCTCAAACTATTTCAAAAAATTCAAGAAGAAGGAAGACTTCCAAACACGTTCTATGAGGCCAGCATAATTCTAATTCCAAAACCCGAAAAAGACACTACAAAGAAAGAAAACTACAGGCCAATATCCCTGATGAACATAGACGCCAAAATCCTGAACAAAATATTAGCAAATCGGATCCAGAAATACATCAAAAAAAGTATTCACCATGACCAAGTGGGATTCATTCCAGGGATGCAAGGCTGGTACAATATTCACAAATCAATAAACGTGATACACCACATAAACAAAATGAAGAACAAAAACCACATGATCATATCAATAGATGCTGAAAAAGCATTCGACAAAATCCAGCATCCATTTCTGATAAAAACGCTCAGCAATGTAGGAATAGAGGGATCATATCTCGACATAATAAAGGCCATATATGAAAGACCTACAGCCAACATCATACTCAATGGACAGAAACTAAAAACATTTCCATTAAGAACAGGAACAAGACAGGGATGTCCACTTTCGCCACTCTTATTTAACATTGTACTGGAAGTCTTAGCCACAGCAATCAGACATGAAGAAAAAATAAAAGGGATCCAAATTGGAAAGGAGGAAGTGAAACTGTCATTATTTGCAGATGACATGATATTGTAAATAGAAAACCCTAAAGACTCCATCAAAAATCTGTTAGACTTAATAAATGAATTTGGCAAAGCAGCAGGATACAAAATTAACGTCAAGAAATCGACGGCATTCTTGTACATTAATGATGAACTCACAGAAAGAGAAACTGAAAAAACAATCCCATTTACCATCGTGTCAAAAAAATTACGATACCTAGGAATAAACTTAACCAAAGAAGTAAAGGACCTATTTGCAGAAAACTACAGGTCATTGAAAAAAGAAATAGAGGAAGATATAAAAAAGTGGAAGCACATACCCTGTTCATGGATTGGAAGAATTAACATAATTAAAATGTCCATACTACCCAAAGCAATCTATAGATTCAATGCAATCCCCATCAAAATACCAACGACATATTTCATAGAACTAGAACAAATACTTCAAAAGTTCATATGGAACCAAAAAAGACCCCGAATAGCCACAGCAATCTTGAAAAAGAAGAACAAAGTAGGTGGGATCACAATACCAGATATCAGGTTATACTACAAAGCGACTGTAACCAAAACAGCCTGGTACTGGCACAAGAACGGGCATATAGACCAGTGGAACAGAACTGAAAACCCAGAAATGGACCCAAGGCAATACGCTCAACTAATATTTGACAAAGGTGGCAAGAGCATACAGTGGAGTAAAGACAGCCTCTTTAATAAATGGTGTTGGGAAAATTGGACAGCTACATGCAAAAAAAATGAAACTAGACCATCAACTTACACCATACACCAAAATAAACTCAAAATGGATAAAAGACTTAAATGTGACCCGTGAATCCATAAAAATTCTAGAAGAAAATGTAGGCAACAAAATTTCGGACATCATACGGAGCAGAATTTTCACTGATACATCACCTAAGGCAACAGAAATAAAGGAGAAAATGAACACATGGGACTACATCAAACTCAAAAGCTTCTGCACAGCAAAAGAAACAATCATCAAAATGGAAAGGCAACCCACTGTATGGGAGAACATCATTGCCAATGATGTATCAGATAAGGGGTTAATTTCCAATATATATAGAGTGCTCCTACAACTCCACAAAAGGAAGACAAAGAACCCAATTAAAAAATGGGCAGAGGAGCTGAATAGACACCTCTCCAAACAGGGCATACAAATGGCCAAGAGACATATGAAGAAATGCTCAACATCACTAATCATCAGAGAGATGCAAATTAAAACAACAATGAGGTATCTCCTCACACCTGTCAGAAAGGCCGCCATCAACAAATCATCAAACAACAAGTGTTCGCGAGGGTGTGTAATACACTGCTGGTGGGAATGCAGACTGGTGCAGCCGCTATGGAAAACAATATGGTGCTACCTCAAAAAATTAAAAATTGAACTTCCATTTGACCCAGTGATCCCACTGCTGGGAATATACCCTAAGAAGCCTGAAACACCAATCAGGAAGAATATATGTACCCCCATGTTCATAGCAGCACTATTTACAATAGCTAAGATCTGGAAACAGCCCAAGTGTCCACCAGTAGACGAATGGATAAAAAAGCTGTGGTACATATACACCATGGAGTACTATGCAGCGGTAAGAAAGAAAGATCTCTTATCCTTTGAGACGACATGGAGGGACCTGGAAAGTATTATCCTAAGTGAAAGAAGCCAAGCAGAAAAAGACAAATACCACATGATCTCACTTATATACGGAATATAATGAACATAACAGTCTGAGGAATACAGTAGACCCAGACACATGGAAGTAGGGCACAGACTGACATCCCTCAGAAGAGGGGATGGGGGGTGGGGGGGTGGGAAGAGATAAACCACAGAACTTATATGCATGTATGCATGACCAATGGACATGGACAACTAAGCCGGGGACAGGGTGGAGGAGGGGTGGGGTGGGGGGTGCCAATGGGGTAAAAAGGTAAAATATCTGTAAAAAAAAAATAAATAAAAATAAATAAAAAAAATAAAAATATATGTATTGCACCTGGCTAACCGCTGATATCTGTCTCTATCACAAGCTTGCTAGCTAGTATTGTTTAACCCTGATTATAAAAGGGCTGAAAGTCTGCTGCTAGGGACTGCAGTTCTCCTCTGCGTAGGTTGGCTGCAGTCCCTGCACAGATAACAATAACAGATAACCTGCTCACCTCCAATTCACCCAACTTTGTACCGGAGTGAGGTTGACTCTCATGGGTTACAACAGTGGTATCCTTTTTCTTTTAGATGAGGAAACCGAGTCTGTGTGAAATCAAGTGATTTGCCTTAGGCCTCTGATATAAACTAAAAGTTTGTGTCCCCCAAATGTACATGCAAAATCCTAAACAACAATGTGATGGCATCAGGAGGTAGGGTCTTTGGGAGTGATTCGGTCATGAGGGTGGAGCCCCATGAAGGGGACCGGTGCCCTGATGATACAAACCCAGGGAGCTCCCTCAGCCCTCCCACCCTGGGAGCACAGCCAGCAGTCCTCTGAGCCTCCGCGGACACCTGGAGCCTCCAGCCTCCAGGCCTGTGAGAAAGAAATGTCCCTTTCCAAGTCACCTGGCCTGGGCGCTCTGCCACAGCAACCCCAGCTGACTAGGGCAGTAACAAGGCAAATAAATGGCCCACTAGTCAGCACCAGAACCCAAACTTTTGCCTCTAAGGTCCTTGCTTTCAGAGACTAGACAAGCCAAGATGCCTAGGAGCATCTTTCTGCGTGATATCCTGGCAAGCATCTGTGGGGGCCTGGGAGTGGACGGCAGGCTAGCTCTTACTGAGGGTTTCTGAGCGTGGGGCGCACTTTCTCCTCTGGGAGCCCGAGGTGACGGGGGATGGGGGGGGAAAGGTCGGGAGGTGCATACACTCACCCCACAGGTGGCCCAACCACCTCTGCATCCACCTCTGAGAAGCGCGCGCCCAACGCCCTCCCCAACCGCACGGATTGCAGAACTGTCTCAGTATCGCGGGAACACCTAGAGTCGCAAGGCCTCCCAGAACCGCGGGCATCAGGCCAGCTTCGCCTCTCCCAGGAACCGCGCCCCCTCCGCTCCGCCCCCTCCCAGCACCTGCCCATCACCCACCCCCTCCACCGCACTCCTCCCTGCACGCCCTCCGCGCCCCCGCGTGCGCCCCCTCCGTTTCGTCCCACCCCCCCAGCACCCGCCAGCTCCGTCCGGCCCCTCCCGGCACCCGCCCCCTCCCAGCACACACCCGCTGCGCTCCGTGACCCTGGCGCCCTGGAGTCAGCACCGCGACCCCGCAGACCGTGGCACCCCCACCCCATCCCCACCTCTCGCGGCTCCCCTCTCCCTCACGCATCCTGGTCCCCTCTGCAGGCCCAGTCACAGGGATCAGGCCGTTTAAGGACTTTCAGAGGCCACCCTTTGAGGTCTGTCGTGTTAGCAGAATTAACAAGGGCGCAGGTGCAAAGTAGGCAAACCCCCTCCCGCTGGCCACCCGTGAGCCCCGTCCTGGGGCCAACGCGGCATAACGCGCAACCGTCATCCCGCCCGCGCGCCGCTCCCCGCCCTCCCCCTCCCCCTCCCTCTCCTCCTCCCCCTCCCTCTCCCCCCCCTCCATCCCTGGGCGCGGCCTCTGCCCTGAGCGCTATCCTCAGGGAAGCCCCACCTGCGTTGCGCGCACTGTCCCGATCCGCCAGCCACTCCGGTGACCCACCTGCAAACCTTCCTCCTGCCCCCCCCCAAATCTGCGGATGCTCCTCTTGCCCGACCCCAGCCCAACACCACCTCCGTGCAGCCTCACGGTTGGAATCACAGGGTCTGAATTCTGACCCAGCTGTCTGGGCACCAAGTGACTGCCTCCTAGCGCCAGGAGCTGGGCTCTCCAGCCCACAGGTCAGACTTCGTCGGAAGAGGGCGCTGGAGGGACACGGGCTTCCACTGTGGCTTCAGGTGTTTTCTCTTAGATTCTTGCAGCACGCGTGGGGACAGTTCAGGGCACCCCCACACGCTCACACACACCCGTCCTCATTAAGCGTGGCTTCCCAGTGATTCACGCAGGTGTCCTTGCCTGCCACCAGCCTGCCATCCCAGAAAAGTGTTTTCTGTTTGCCAGTCCAGGTCACAGCTCCCAGGGGTCCAGCCTAGGCAGTCTGGGCCCTGAGGGTTGCTGGCTGGCAGGAGCGAAACAGGCCTGGCCTAGGCCAGTCAAAGTCCCACCATCAGATGAGCCAAAACTACACCTTCTCTTCAAATTAGTTTCTTCCTGGTGTAATCTCCCTCAGATTTAGGCTATTCTTTAGCGTTCTCTTTACTACCTTGTAGCTAACCCGTTATCGTTAAAGTGCTTTTAGTAGAGGACCTGACACATATTTTTTGTTTCTTGCTGCAAGATGAAGAGGTGAGTTGGGGGTAGGGAGGGACAGTGGAAGAGACTACCAGAGTAAAGGAAGTTCTTAAAGGGTCGTTGATGAAGCCAACTGGGAGAGTAGATGCAAGAGTAGTAAAATAGCTTCTCTCTCACTTTTGAAACATGGCTAGCCTGGGAAACAAATTTTGCAATTACTGAAATTGAAACCAGACAGCAAATGGGTCTGACCCACCTGTCACTGCTTGCGCCAATTAAGTAAAGAAAGGTTGAATGATGTATGAGCGGTTATTCCAATATGGATGGAAGTATGGGAGAGCAGTGCGTCATCCTGTAACATCTGCTCTGCGCCTCCTCACTAGCCAGCTGTTTTTCCAGGTAGCTATGTGGGGAAGAAAAGGTAGGCAAAGGGAAAGAAAATGGGTAAATTGGTCACTGGCAATTACCATCATGGGGAAGGAATGTGGGCTGGGGGACTGCAAAAGGTGGTCACCAGTGTGTTGCTTCCCTGGTTCCATTACTCCAACAACGAGGTCATTGAACTTTCCATGATGTCAGGCAGATCCACCTTGTCCTCAGATCAGGAGAATGGGCCACATTCGTCCAAGGTGAACACCTCCTAGCCAAGTCAGAATGGGTCTTTCTTTATCAGAACAAAGCAATAACTATTAACATTGCAAAGGATCATTAACTTTTTTTTTTTTTTTAAGGGAGGTAGAGAGAGAGAAACATCAGTGTTGAGAATCGATTGGTTGCCTCCCACACAGCCCTGGTCTGGTCAGGGCCAGGGAAGCCTGCAACCCAGGCACATGCTCTTGACCAGGATCAAACCCGAGACCCTTTGGTCTGAGGGTAGATGCTCCAACAGCTGAACCAAACTGGCTAGGATGGATTATTAACATTTCTTACAACTATGGCTAGTACCCCACTATGATTAGTTCTCTATTTTATTATTCTCTCTCACCCCTTTCAAAATCGCTCTGTGGAGTGTACCATAGGAGCTCCAACCTAGGGAGCACCATGCTGGTTTTTGATAGTCTGAAGAAAAACAGGGGACTAGAGGGGAGGGACATAGCCTTTGAAGACCCAATGATGATGGTGATGGCAGCTGGTCGGGTGGGTTTCCACACTAGGCCAGGACTAGGCAGGATCTTATCTAGCAGTGGGGTGGAAGAAGGTTCTGTGCTTGGAACAGCTTGCATGCAGTCTGGCTGTCAGGGTCGTGGGAAAACTCCCATGTTTGTATATATCCTTGTGTGAATCCACAGGCGGGTATGGGACTGGAACTCATAGGAAGTTATAGCTAAAAACAATAGATCAGAGAATAGCTTCTGGATATCATATTATTACGGTATTCAACTGAGACTATAAAAACCTTGAACAAACCTTCCCAAAATAGAGCAGCTTCATGGACTCTTTTCGTCTTGCAATTGAACAAGGCTCATCCTACTTTGTTTACCAGCCCATAATTTGAAGAAGTGATTAGACTTCAGCTGCTCATGGGGGACTCCCGCTGTCTAAACAAGAATCAGAAGAGCTCTCTGTCCCTCTCATTTTTCCTTCTTTACTTTTTAATCAGAGGTGGGACAGAATAGGAAGGAAAATATTCTATTTTTAAAGAATGTTTTTGCTTTATATTCTTGGGCTTTAAATGTTCTGGGTGCAAACATTATCTTACACATGTAAAATCTTGGTTTGAGTTTTAGAAATAACCTAATTTACCCTTCAAACTTTTACGTGTGTGTGTGTGTGTGTATGTAATTTTTTTTAATCCTCACCTGAGGATATTTTTACATTAATCTTCAGATAGAACTGGAGGGAGAGAAGGAGGAAGACAGAGCAAAAGAAACATCGATGTGACAGAGACACATCGATTGGTTGCCACCCAGACACAGCCGATTAGTTGGCTCAACACCAACCAGGGCTGAGGACAAACTGCAACCGAGGTACATGCCCTTGGCTGAAATTGAACCTGGGACTGTGATCCACAGGCAACACTCTTACTGCTGAGCCATACCGGCCAGTATTAATAAATATTTTATTTAGACTATTTTTGGTATAAAATTGATGCGTGTGTGTATGTGTGTATATATATATCCATGGGAAAGATTATTTATTTGTTCCAGGCTTAATGCTTCTCTTATCAATAGTTCAACTTAAAAATAAATTTCATCATAGGAAACAATGGTGGCAGAGTGAATGGAAGCTACATAGACAATCTCCCAGGACCAAACGGGAATTACAACTAAAATAAAGACAAAACATCAGAAAAAAGCAACAGAAAAACAGCGGGAAAGGAGCATATAACCAGGGACACTGGTAGGATCTGTGGAGGTGCGGGAGAGTGGCAGGCTGGGAGCTCAGGGACAGCAGCAGCCTTAGATATGAGCAGCACACTCAGAGTTAAAATCCTAAACTGGCTCCACAGTGTAGAGGGTCGACACAGAGCACTACATTCGTTAGAGCCACTCACCTTGGGCTCCAGCAGAGGGAGGGCAGACTGGGCTGGAACTCTGTGGGGACACCCGGGATTTGGAGGATGCTCAGAGTTTTTCCTGAGTCACGACCACAAAGGACAGTGGCCAACTTGCTTCTTCCCAGAGCTGTGGGGAAAAAGAGCAGCCCCTTCCTTGGAAATTCAGCCCCCTACAGGTGAGTCAAAGAAATGCAAATGGAGGATCATTAACAACCAGTATCTGTCCCACCCTCTGGAAATTCTCTTTTTCTTTTTTTTAATTTAAAAAATAATTTTAATGATTTGAAAAATAAATATGGCATTTTCTTTTAACTTATTTATTTATTTTTATTAATTAATTTTTGTTACAGATGTTTCTCCTCTTCCCCCCACTGATTCCCCCCTCCTTCTCCCTCCCTGCCCTGTCCCCAGCTTTGTTGTCCATGTCCATTGTTCATGAACACATGCATATAAGTTCTGTGGTTTATCTCTCCCCCACCCCCCCTCTTCTGGGGATTGTCAGTCTGTACCCCACTTCCACGTCTCTGTTACATTCATTATATTCCACAAATAAATGAGATCATATGATACTTGTCTTTCTCTGTTTGGCTTGTTTCACTTAGATGGTACTTTCCAGGTCCCTCCATGTAGTCTCAAAGGATAAGAGACCTTTCTTTCTTACAGCTGCGTAGTACTCCATTGTGTATATGTACCACTGCTTTTTTATCCATTCGTGTACTGATGGACACTTGTGCTGTTTCCAGATCTTAGCTATTGTAAATAGTGCTGCTACAAACACGGGGTACATATATTTTTTCTGACTGGAGCTTCAGGCCTCTTAGGGTATATTCCTAGAAGTGGGATCACTGGGTCAAATGGTAGTTCAATTTTCAATTTTTTGTGGTAACACCATATTGTTTTTCATAGTAGCTGCACCAGTCTGCATTCCCACCAGCAGTGTACTAAAGTCACCTTTTCTCCACACCCTCACCAACACTTATTGTTGGATGATTTGTTGATGGCGGCCTGGAAATTCTCTTACACAAAACACCAGAGGGCTACATTCCAAGGCCCTGAATAACTGAGACTAATAGCCTCCAGGCAAAAAGCTAGAGAAT